CAGACACCCGTGTTGATACGGAAAGCTTGATAGTTCAATATATTCATCCATGTCACTTATGTAACTCAGAGAAGTGGGTCAATGGACATAAGTAGACTCCCGTGCCGGCATGGGAGACTTCGGTATCCAATATATTCATGCTTATTATCTATGACATTTGGGGAGGAGACCAATAACATTCACTTAGATTTTTCCTATCGACACGNCTCCCGGCCCGGGGAGCCTCAGGATTAATTGCTCATCGATGTTCTTTGTGAGACTTAAGAGAGAGGAGTCAATGCACAAAAATTGATTCCCGTGCCGACGCTGGAAAACGCAGGAACCAATATATTNGCTTGATAGTTCAATATATTCATCCATGTCACTTATGTAACTCAGAGAAGTGGGTCAATGGACATAAGTAGACTCCCGTGCCGGCATGGGAGACTTCGGTATCCAATATATTCATGCTTATTATCTATGACATTTGGGGAGGAGACCAATAACATTCACTTAGATTTTTCCTATCGACACGAGAAACCTCATACTTCAATATCTCCATCCACGTTGCTTATGAGATTGGTAGGGGGGGAGGATTCAGGGTCCAATATATTTAACCATGTCAATTTTGAGANACTACCCCCTCCACCAAAGAGGATTGACTAAAGTAGAAGCTCAGATCTCGGGGAGATGGATGGTTTCGGTTTTTCCCAGCGTAAGTAGCGGCATGTTCAGGTTGGTGAAACAGGCAAAGATGCCATCTCGCGGTGATGTAGATATTAATATATCGGATCCCCAATAGATGGAGGGTAATGTACGAAAAGGGAGCATTCCTGNTGAAATTAATACATTCATTCATGTTATAAGACGGGGAAGGGGATGAATTTACGCAGGTAGATTAACATGCCGGCACGAAAAACATCCAACAGTCATCCATGTTGTTTATGAGATGCAGGGGGGTATTTGATGAAGTACAAATAGATATCCGTGCTGGCACGAAAACTTCANCTTAATGAAAAGCTCTTAGCCTGTAGTCGTGCAGCCGAAAGATGAGAACCTACCAATGAGTGAACTTGAAAATCAGGTGAAAATACGTTTCAGGATGAAAAAAAAATCGTAAGACGCTTCATTAGATGAGGAATATTATAATAATAAATAAAATGAATCGAAACTAAAAATTTGAAACTGTATAATATTATTTTTTTATATTATTATTACTATTATTTATCTATTGTTTTTGTATCCAACTATTTGTTAATGAATATAACGTGACGGACGCCGTGATTATGCTTCTAGGATGACTGATAACAAAATAGTTGATCTTAATTCAAATCTTATTTTTTTAAAATAGTGACATAAATAAGGAATCAATGAGTCCATTCGGTAATCAAATTAAAGACTCATTAGCAGNCGGAGCCAGGCGATCAGGAACAAAATTGCTCAGCAACGGTCCATCGCTCGTGCACCGTTGCCTAGCAATTTTGTTACCGGCCTTTTTCTTAAATGAAGTCTCCGGCTCTATAAGTTATGAGACTTGAGACGGTGCTGTGATCAAACAAATTTCTGTGCTGGCACGGGAAACCTCGTAGTCAACCATATTTATCAATGTTGCTTGT